GGGAGCCGAGGGTGCCCGGGGCACCCCAGGGAGTGCAGCAGGCAGGAGGGGAGCCGAGGGTGCCCGGGGCACCCCAGGGAGTGCAGCAGGCAGGAGGGGAGCCGAGGGTGCCCGGGGCACCCCAGGGAGTGCAGCAGGCAGGAGGGGAGCCGAGGGTGCCCGGGGCACCCCAGGGAGTGCAGCAGGCAGGAGGGGAGCCGAGGGTGCCCGGGGCACCCCAGGGAGTGCAGCAGGCAGGAGGGGAGCCGAGGGCGCCCGGGGCACCCCAGGGAGAGCAGCAGGCAGGGGGGCAGCCGGGGGTGCCCGGGGCACCCCAGGGTACGCAGCAGGCAGGGGGGGGATCGATGGACGACCGGGAACAGCAGTTGGAGGAGTGGTGCCGACTTTTGGAGTTTGATACCCCCATGGCGACTGCGGAGGAGTCAGAGGCGGACGGAGAACCACCCAGTCCGCCTTCCCCATGCCCCCGTTTCCCGTGTGACACGTGTTTCCACACGTTCGCCACGAGAGGGGCCGCTGCGAACCACATGAGGGTATGCCGGGCGGCTGAGGCGGAGAGACGCGCGCAGGCACTTGGCTCGATCCCGTCTCTGGTGGAGACCGACACACAGGAGCGACCGACGCCGCGGGAATTTGGGGACGAGGCGTGGGCAGGGGTTAAGTCATGGGAGTGGGAGGCATTTTTCTGTGTGGAGGCGGTTGGAGGGAGGACAGTGCGCCGGATCCCGCAGCGGGCCCGGTCCGGGGTCTTAGACGCACTCTGTTGCATCTTGAAGCGGCTGAAGAGCCGACCGGGAGATGAAGCTGCTACCCTCCTACTCCTGGCGTTTCCGCGCCTCATCCTAGCCGTGCCTCCCAAGCCAGGCATAGGTCAGAAGGCGCTGATCATAGAGCGGCTGGGGGCCTTCTGGGAGGGGAGGTGGCGGGAGTTGTTCGACGCTGCCATGGCGGCGGCACGGCCAGCAGTTCGCCCACTTGCCTACACGTGCTCTGACCAGGACCCGGAGGCCATCCGCCTGTCACGGTGCCGATCTCGGTGTAAAGTGGGAGAGTGGAGCCGTGGTTTGTCTTGCCTCACAGCAGGAGAGTTGGCTCGACCGTCTGAGGCTATGGTGCAGTCGCTGCGAGGGAAGCACCCAGCTAGCAGTGGCGAGGTACCACCGTGGGTTCGTGAGTTTACTGTCGACGCTCCTCAGCGGCCTCCACTCACGACCGACATTCTGGCTAGAGCTATCCACACAGCTGCTCGCGCCTCAGCTGCAGGGCCATCGGGATGGGTCACAGAGCATCTGCGCGACACTTTCCTCACGGAACCTTCCTGCCTCTCCCACCTGCTGGAAGTGTTCAACCAATGGGTGGCGGGACAGGTCCCCGAGCGAGCTCGGCCCTGGCTCGCCGCATCCAACCTAGTCGGGCTTTCCAAACCCAACGGTGACGTCCGGCCGGTGGCGATCGGGGAGGTGCTTCCGCGTATCCTCGCTCGAGCTCTCTGCATCTCGCTTCGCCCTGTGATGGCTTCTTATTTTCTGCCGTGTAACCAGCTGGGAGTGGGCACCAGGGCCGGGGTGGAGATTCTTACTCATTCTTTCCGGTCAGCGCTGGCCACTCACCCCGACTGGTGTGCGCTGCAGATAGATGTCGCGAACGCCTTCAATTCGTTTCATCGCCACGCGATGTTCGAGGGGCTGAAGGAGTCGCCTTTCTCAGGAATGATCCCATTCTTGCGTGTCTTCTATGGGACACCTAGCGACCTGTACCTCCGAGCGGGCCCTTTCGTACAGAGTCTTGAGTCGGCACGAGGATCGCGACAGGGGGACCCGCTCGGCCCTTTTCTTTTCGCTTTCACGCAGCAGCAGGTGCTGGGGACGGTGACTAGAGAGTTCAGGGACCTACTTTTCTTGAGCTATGCAGACGATACCTACATCCTGGGACCAGCGGCTAGGATTCTGGAGGCTTTTGGGGTGCTGCGAGAGAGGTTGGAGTGGGTGGGGCTGGAAGTGCAGGCGCACAAGTGCAGGTTTTGGGAGCGTGGAGGTGGGGATATGGAGCGGGCATTGCCTTTGGGGATGCAGCGGGAGGAGGAGGGTCTTATTGTGGTGGGCGTGCCTATTGGGGAGGAGGATTGGGAGGGGGCCCGATTACGGAAGCGGCTTCGCGAGTTGCAGGCGCCATTGCCGTGGCTCCCCCTGCTCGACCACCCCCAGATGGCCTCGCATCTCCTCGCTATTGCAGTTTCAGCACGGCCGATGTACCTGGCCCGGACTATGCCGCCGCGGCCGGAGGTGGTGGAGGCCTTTAGAGAGTGGGACAGCTGTCTGGAGGATTGCTTTGAGCAGCTTTTCCCCCCTGGCACTTGGGAGCAGGATCCCGGCAGGTCTAGGCGCGCACGCATGCAGCTGCATCTCCCTGTGCGCCTCGGAGGGTTTGGGATCCGGGCGGCGGCCTCTTTGAGTCCGCTCTCCTATGTTTGTGGGTGGGCGCAGGCCGCACGGGATATTGCACATTTGGGGGTGGCGGGCGAGGAGGCGATGTTCGCAGAGTACCTCACCACTTCGGCGGGGGCGGAGCTTCTTGACCCGTGGTTTGCCAAGGCCATTGAGCAGTTGCCCGCGACTATACGCCAGGAGCTGCCGGACTTACCCCTGTGTGTGGCGGCCCCTCCTCTTCGGCTTTTCCAGGCGCGGCAGCGGCAGTTGGCTGTTGAGGAGCTCCAGGCACTCCGCCGCTTGGCTCGTGACGATGCCACCCTAGCCCGTTTCACATCCCTTCAGGGCCCGGGGGCTGGTGCATGGGTTTCGGCAGTTCCGGCTCATTCAGATCTCACATTCACTGCAGCGGAGTGGGGCATTGCTGCTGCTATACGGCTTGGTCTCCCAATCCAGCAGCTGCAAGTGGCGGGGAAGTGTGTTTGTGGCGCAGCGTATGATGACCCAGCAGACCCGCATCATGCGCTGAGATGCAAGCACCAACACGGTCCATCTCGGGTGCATGATGAGGTGAAGTTTGCGGTGGCAAAGATCGCTAAGGCGTCAGGGGGGGTGGTGACGATGGAGGATAGTGCGGTGCTGCCGGGGAAGCGGGTTGACGTAGCGGTGCGACGACCAATGGCTGGGGAGGCTCATGCTTTAGAGATTAGTGTCGCGGACCCGCTATCACTGTCTCCATCTCTGCTAGGGCAGTGCGGGCGGTCTATAGGCGTGGCGGCAAAGGAGTGGGAGCGTCGCAAAACGGGGGATTACGCGCCTCTTCTTGCACGGAACCGAGGCGTGCAGTTCACCCCTTTGATAGTGGAGACGTGGGGGTGTCTCGGCGGTCGCTTCCGGCGGTGGCTTCGACAGCAGGGGGACGCGCACGTGGGGCTAGCTGTGTCACGGGGGGCTTGTCGGGAGGATGACACTTCGTTCTCGGCTTACCTTTTGGGGTCTCTGAAGGCGCTCATCGGAGTGGCGTTACAACGGGCGCAAGCTCGTGTCATCCTGCTTCGGGCGGCGTCTTCCATGGGGGGGTTGAATGTGGACTTGGTGGATCGGGAGAGGGACGATGTCGAGGTGGAGGGCGGGCCTCTTTGGGTGGAGGCCCCCTACATGGTGGATGTGCAGATGTGACTTGGGGGGGAGGGGGGGGGGGGGTGGGGGCGAGGGGGAATGGGGTGCGAGATGGGACGTCTGGTAGGGGATCCTGGTTGGGTTTTTTCTTTATAGAGTATTTTTATGGGGCTTTTTATGGGTGTTGCGTTTGAGTTGTTTCTGGTGTCTTTCTTTCCCGTTCCTCTCCTCTTGTGCGATGCTTTTCTTTGCCGAATGACATTCACTTGCTAAAAAAAAAAAAAAAAAAAAAAAAAAAAAAAAAAAAAAAAAAAAAAAAAAAAAACAGAAGGGTCTAGACTCGCTACGACTCGGGATTTTCGGCTGTAAATTCGCCTCACACGCAAGACGAGCCAGCATATTTCGTCCTTCCCTCCCCGCACAGCGGGGTTCCAACGGCCCGATGCAGCCTGTGACGCCATTGGCTCGCTGGTCCTGCCCCTTGGCTAGGCGATTTGTTCGGCGGCGGCGCTTCGGGAATCCGCAGCTCTGCGCTCCGATGAAGGTTCTCACACGACTCGAAATCCCTTTCACACTGGATTCCGGAATACCGCGCGCGCCAAGTCAACAGCAAAAACGTTGTGAAGGGGAACCTTTTAGAACCCAACCAGATTAGGAAGAACCGAAGCGAATCTAGCTTAACCCATGTTTTGTTGTTGATAGGGTGCTTCATTGTTTTCATGTTTCACTTGCCTTCCTCAACTTGCATCACCATCCATCCATAAGCATCCTCCCCCTTCCATCCCATCTCCTCTCCACCCGTTCCCCTTCCCGCACTCCATCCTTCACAGCACCTCCATTTCCTACTCTCCACTGTATCTCCCTCAACTCACACCCGTCGTTCGTACCGAGGCAGCATACCTGAAGTTATATGTGAGTGAGTGTGTGTGTATGTATCAATGTGGTGACGATGACGGCGCCGCATTCCAACAGCACTCACCACCATGCATGCCCACGCCGGCCCGGCAGGCTTGCGAATAAATTTACCGTTTATCGCTTGAATTTGGCACGTCTTGGTCTGTTTTAGAAGTAACGGCCATTCGTTTCACATCCCACATGAAGCTTCAACCCTAGCTCCATACTCTCCCACATCCCATTGACCTCTGCTGCTAACTACAACTGGCCTGTCTTGACCCCTCCCGCATTTTAATACCTGGTACTGTAATTTGATCGCTACTTTCACTCTGGAAGAGTGAACGCAATTCGCGTCGCTCGACGACACGTAGGGAGCGCATTCAGAAATTTCCAAACTCAGACCTAGGTACCCTTTCCCACGCCGACATCAATAACAGCAACGCTTTCACGTCACATCCCTCGTTGTCTCGTTCATCCACCCGCCGTAGCCCGAGGGTCCGAAGCACGTTGCCTTAATCGCTGCTTCACTCCGTTGTCTAGATTATGACCGACTCGCGCCAGATGCCGCTACTAGCGGACGACGGGGCGAGCGGCGGAGGAGCTGTCGGACTGAACAGTAACTTCATCGGCGGATTGTACGGCGGGCTGAACGGAAGTTTCAAGATGGGCGGAGGCAGGTGGCGGTACCTGGCGGGCGCGGGCCTTCTGGTGGCGCTCGCGCTCTTCGCCCCGCTCGCCTACCAGATGTGGCAGCCCAGCAGCGACGTCTCCTTGATCCCCTCGCAGTGGCAAGGTACGGGACCCATGGATTGGGGTATGACCTTTCTTGTAACCTACTCTTGTAACTTAGGGTTTAGGCACAACCTCGTGCCTCCTCTCCACTGCTTCCACTACGGTTCCTCTGTTGTTCCGCTCGTAATTCTCATCCTTTCCCCTGTCCTCCCCATTCTCCACATCCTTTCCCATTCGTCATTCCCCTTTCTCTTTCCTCACCTTTTCCTCACCCTCCTCTGCATCCTTCACCCTTGCGCCAAACTTCCGCCATGCCCCATCCCCTCCGCGCCCCCAGGCGTCATGCGCCTCTCCACCGCGCCAACCGGCACCGACGCCTGGAGCACGCTCATATTCTCTGCCGCTAATCCCGCCGGCCGCGCCGCTGGACTTGGCAGGGAGACGGCCAGCGGAGAGCCGTGGGATGCGATGGAGGTGGAGGCATCTGAAGGGCTGTTTCTCGCCGGCGCCGCTGCCGTCATGCCGTCACCTGATGACGTGTTTTTGGCATCCGATGATGTCAGCCCGCCAGCTGGTAACCAAGGCTCCACTGGCGAAATTCGGAGCGCTCCGTCGAACGATAAAAGCGATAACGAGAGACCTACTAACGAGACGTCTAATACTGGAGACAATACTAGTGTCGTTGCGCTAGAAGCCACCGCGGTTACAAGCGAAACTGCTGACGGCGGGGATGGATTGCGCGGGAGAGCGGAGGAGGCGGAAAACCGGGAGAACAAAACCGGCGCATCATCAACCGCGGACATGCTGCGGAGATCTCCCCGCGCAGATGCGCCACCCGCGGGGACAGCGGACGGGAAAGAGCTCGGGGGGGACAGTGGCGGGGGAAGGCGGAGAGGGAAACCGTGGGAGGAGCGCAAAGGGTTTGACGCGGCGCTTCCGCGCGCGACGGTGAAACTTCTGCGGAGAATGACGAAGGCGGGCCTGCCGATTCCGCGCGACCCGTGGCTGTGCGCGACGCGTGCTGCAGACGTGGAGGGATACACGCGACCTTCAGAGTAGGTGGAGCGGTGGAGATGCGTGTGAGGAGAGTGAGGAGATGTGTGTGAGGAGAGTGAGGAGATGTGTGTGCACAGGGGAAGGGAGCATTGAGGAGTGTGTGTGGTGGGGGGGGGGGCGGGTTCTGTGTGGTGTATGATGGCAGTTCCCTTGACACTCCATCGCATCACCCAATCCAACCCTCCCTTTTATCAACTAAGCGCGGGCACGGCATGATGCTTGAAGATCACCTCACGGCCGTCGCCGTTGCTGCATCTGCGTGGACGACCGCGACGGCCGTGACAACTTCCTCCGTGAGGACGGCCGCTCGTTGCTTGCCCCGTTCCCCCTCTATCCTCCCTCCCCTTTCCCCACCACCCTACCCTCCTCTTCCCTCCCCTCTCCGCCGCGCCAGAAAGCAACGTACTCCTCTCGAGGGCTGCTTCTCGAATCGATTTGAAAACCATCTCCCCTCCGCGTCCCGCCCCACCCCTTGTGTCCCCCTCCCCCCCCCCCCTCCCCCCCTTCCCAGGGAGGTGAGCGGGCAGTACGTGTTCCGCGGCAGCACGGTGGACGGGGCGGACTGCCGCCTCTTCTACGCCGCGCTCACCACGCCCTCGCCCTTCAACGCCACCTTCACCACCCTCTCCCGCTCCGACCCGCTCCCTCTCCCTTTCCCCCCTTCCGATTCCTCTCCCTCCTCCGACTCCGCTTCCTCCGCCGCCTCTTCCCCGATCCCCAAGATCGCCTTCCTCTTCCTCACGCGCGGGCCGCTCCCCTTGGCGCCGCTGTGGGAGCGGTTTTTCCGCAACCACTCGGCGTACTTCACCGCGTACATGCACGCCGCCACACCTGGTTACCGCGTGGATCCCCGCGTGCGCAAGAGCCTCAACCTGCGCGCCGTGCCCAGCAAGCCCGTGTTCTGGGGGACTCTGAGCATTGTGGAGGCCATCAAAGTGAGCATGGGGGGCGTGAACCGAGGGAAGTTGGGGGGATGGGGGCGCGGGGGGAGGGGGAAGGGATGGACTTGAGCATGGGCGTGGGCATGGGCATGGGCATGGGCATTGGCATTGGCATTGACATGGGCATGGGCATGGCCATTGGCATTGGCATGGGCATTGGCATGGCCATTGGCGTGGGCATTGGCATGAGCATTGGCATTGGACACAGCCACGGACGTGAACGCTTTTCACTGTTCTCCCTCCTCTCTTCCGCACATCTCCTCATCCTCTTCCCGTCCCTGTCTCCCCTCTCCCCCTCATCTCCACCCCCACAACAGCGGCTGCTGGCCACGGCCCTGCTGGACCCGCACAACGTGCGCTTTGTGGTGGTGAGCGAGAGGGACGTGCCGCTGCACGCCTTCCCCACGGTGTACCGCTACCTGCTGGCGTCCAACCAGTCGTACGTGGGCGGTTACCGCAAGTTCTTCCGCGACAACAAGGCCGCCATCAAGGTCTTCCCGCGGTCCCTCGTGGTGGACGGCTGGATGCACGGCGAGTGCTGGGTCGAGATGGCCAGACCGTGAGTGCCGCTGCCCCTTAAACCATCACCCTCACCCACCACTAGCCACCCTTATCCCACCCTTCCATGTGTTGCTCTGTGCTTCCCTGTGCTTCCTCGTGCTGCCCTGTGCTGCCCTGTGCTTCCTTGTGCTGCCCTGTGCTGCCCTGTGCTTCCTTGTGCTGCCCTGTGCTGCCCTGTGCTTACTTGTGCTGCCCTGTGCTGCCCTGTGCTGTCTAAATTCATCCTCTCCCTTTCCTCCCCTTCCCCAAACCCCCATTCCCTCCACCCTCTCCCAACGTGCATCTCTGCAGGCATGCAATGGAGGTGGTGCGGGACTGGGAGTGGCATGAGAAGGGCCGCGACTACTGCGCGGTGATGCAGCGCCCGACATGCTGTGTGGACGAGAATCTCATCCACAACATCATCACCTCCAAGCACCCCCACCAAGTGGCCAACCGCAGCGTCATGAGCGTTGATTGGCAGCGCAAAACAGGCCACCCACACACGTACCTCCCTCGGGACATCTCGCCCGAGTCGATTCGGAGCATTCAGGAGGAGTGGCATGAGAACCAGAAGCGGCCCTACTCGCAGCCCATGTTTCTGCTGCCCAAGGAGTCGCAGAAGTTTGTCATGTCCAACCGCCGGTGTACAGTGAGCGGGGAGAACGCTACGTGCTGGCTCTTTGCACGCAAGTTCATTGGGCTGTCGCTGCGAGCTCTTATGGACCTTCCAAGGGATGTGCTTGGATATTAGTACCGTAGCTAACTAGGGGCAGCTGGTCGCTGCCCCGTTACCAATTATGATAACTATAGATGCTCTCTATATGCGTTGGGATCGCATGTGATTCCTGCTGCATTGATTTCTGTATATTTGATGCAAAACAGGTAGTATAAGTCAATGCCCTTGTACGAGAGGCGTTTTAATTGTACCTCATTCCCGGAAAGGATTTCCTAACAGGACGGTGCCTTCTTTTGGTTCATCGACTGGAAAGAAGATCACGAAGCAAGAATAAAAAGGGAGAGAACTGGAACCTGATAAAAGTTAGTACCAGATATGATATTGATGGGTACAGATTGAGACTATTGGTTCTTGGATGGAACATTGTCGGGTTAAGATAGCCAGCGTTGTGTAGTCGTCCATCGGGAGCGCACTTGAGGATGTGCATAACGCACCACGAGAAACGACAAACACTTGCGCAAGTCCCCATACCAGCCAAGTTTTGGCAGAAGTCGTCGCGTCATCGGTCAATATCCAAGTTCTGTTTGGTTCGCCTGAGAGACTTGCACACCCAGAATTGTACAGTTCGGTACGGATCTGTTTGCACCTGCCTTGTTTTGTGCTGTTGAGAATGCATGCCAAGAAGCGAAGCATCGCACTAGCGGTTACAGCTCGTCGTAAGCTTCGAGAATACTTGTTTCTGTCGTCACACCCTGTCCCTCTTGTCTGAGAATGTCACAGAAGCGCGGATTCGTTTCCCACATTTGGAATGTTGCCCCTTCATTGACACTCTCAGAGGGTGGCAATGCCAGGTCAAGCCCTTGACTGGTCCCATCCAATGAAAGAATCTGCATGACTTTTGTCATCGACCGTGAAGTCAAGCCCATCTTATCTGACGTGGCTTTATCTGACAGTGAATTGGCTTTTCCCAAGTCACGGACTGTTCGTCTCTGCTCAGCTCAGGCCCTTTATCAGGGAGCGTACGATCGAGTCTCAATCAACCCGATTCGCAAATCCGCGGTGCGTTGATGCTCAAGTCAATTTCTTGCTTTCTTGATTTGAAATCTAGGATACAATGCAACCAGTCACCCCCGATAAAGCTTCTTCTTGCTCAGCAGTTTTCCTATTGTTCAGCAGCTTCCCAACGACTAAAAATCGCCGTCCTGTTCTGTAAGGAGGCTCCAGCACTTCCTTGTTCCAAGTCTGGAAATAGAAGATGAAAACGCGCGGCTCTTCGGGGTCTTTCGCCACTGGCAGAAGAGCCGAGGAAGCGACAACGTGGCTACTGATTTTGTTCGCTGCCGTGCTTCTGGGAGCACCTTCTCAGTCTGCTGCACAGCATCCTGACGAGTACGCACCGCACGGACCCCTGACAAGGCCCCGCGCATGTTACAAGAGATGCAACAAGCTGAAGCTGGGGTACTACATAAAAAATGGAGCAGACACGAGGGCTTCGGGACCTCAAACTATTCTCGGGAACTACAACTACGAGCGCTACGTTATTGACAGTCCGGCAGCAAATGTCGTCGGCTCCTTGGAGACATCGGGGGTAATCATTCATCCAACCCTCCCGTAATGCCTCCGTGGTAACCTACTGCTGTTGTTTTAAGCCTTTTTTGCGCTTCCATCGACTTTTGAGCAGCCGCTCGCCAGCGCCGCGCTGGCAACACATGATGCACCTTGTGTAAACTTGCCGTCGTACCTCCCCGTCTCTCCTCTTGGCAGCACGCTCCCGAAGGAACGGAATGCTGCCAGAAGTGTGCCGAGCAGGAAGGTTGCAAGTACTTTCATCTGAAAGCCCCAATGAACGGCCAGCTGTAAGCATCGCCACTGATACTCGTTATACTTGCCACTGTTTTTTCTTGTCCTTACTACACCGCGTTGACAAGCTTCTTTCCTCCAGTTCAGAATGCGTTCACCGTGTGACTCTTTAACGCGTTCCCCTTTCAAAACTATGTTCTTATAACCGCCGGCTAACTTCTTATCCCCTCCCCGTGACACCGAGCAGTGGCCAATGCACGCTGCTGGGCTCATTGGCAGGCATCACCGTGCGGAACTGGGACGTGGCCATCGTACCAACGTACTTGGGCGGCGAGTGCAACCCCCTTGCCAACACGGACGACGACCCGCATTTCCGGGGCGCGGACGGCACGCGCTTCGACTTCAACGGTCTTCTCGACCGCTCCTTCTGCTTGCTTTCCGACCGTCGGATCCACATCAACATGGGAATCAAGGGTTACCAGCCCATCGCGAATCTCCCCGGCACGGCGACATCATTGGACGAAGAGTCGCTCGCTGCAGCGCTGGAAGCGGCGTCCAATGAGAAAAAGCCACGTCATATCAGGCAACTGGAGCAGGAGCGAATGAGCGCGGAGGAACTGAGAGATCTGGAGAGTATGCGGGCCAATGGGAGCCTGCCGTTGACTAATGAGGTGGCGGCGGCACTTGAGCGGGAAACGGGACGTCGCAGCGGCGAAGGCGGCGGCGGGAGTGGAGGGGAAGAGCAGCAGCATCACTCGATTCAGTACGCAAAGCATGAGCTGAAGGCGAGGCTTCTCAAAGGAAAGCCGATTCGCAGCTGGATCAGGTATGCGCATTTTCTTTTCTTTCATCATGTGCAGCACGTGCCGCGTTGTTAGATTTTCCGAGCCTCATGAATGTACGCTTCTCATGTCGCGCTCATTCATGGTGCCTTGCAGGGAGCTCCAAGTGATGTGGCGCGATGCGATTGGCGCGCAGCACTCGGCGTTCTTCAAGGCACGAGACGGCAAGGAGCAAGGGAGGGGCAGCAGCGGTTTCATCGACCGACTGGAGCTTGACGGCTCGCCGGTGGCCCCGCCTCTGTCCGCCGGCTCTTCCATCACCGGCAGCGGCGGGTTCAAGCTGCTTCTGGCGGAAACGCGGAGCTGCAAGGGGAAGGACGAGGACGAGTTTCATTTGACAATCGATGGAGTCGTGGACATGGGAATCTCGGCGCGGTTGGCGCATCCTCTCATGCAAACGGCGACCGAAGCCCAGGCGCATTTCAACGTCCACATCGCCCGGCTCAATGTGAGCAACCCCTTTTTTTGTGTGTGTGATTGTTTGCTGGCTGTGTGATAACCATCCTGGCAGTTTTGGTACCGTTTTGTCGTTTTCTCCCAGGCAATTGTTTTCCCTTCACCCATCACCCTCTCCCCCCACCTTTCGGCCCCTCTCTCTCCATATGCAGCACACGAGCGGCATTCACGGCGTGCTGGGTCAGACATTCCGAGCGGAGGAGTCCCGCAAGGTGCGCTCGCTGCGGTACCGCCTGCTGACCCGCCTGCTGCGCGAGCCGGTGGAGGTGGAGAGCGAGAGTGGCAGGGGATTCCTGGATGGGCGCACGGAGGACTACGTCACCTCGGATATTCGCTCCGCAGATTGCATGTACGCCGCTGCGTGGCGCAGGGGGGCACATGAGAGCAGTGAAGGAAGTGATTTCATCTGACGAGGGATCGTGACGCAGTGCTGCTGAGTCGGTGGTTTGAGGAATCATTATCACCTTCTGCACTGATAAGATACAAAATATAGGTAACCTAGTAAATAAATCCGCTGCCATAATGGCACGCCTATTACAAGTGGGGAGTTCTTGTGTTTTGTCGATCCTGTGTCTGCTTTTCTTTCTTGACTTGATGTGAAATGCTTTGTTAGCTCTCAAACCAGAAGTCGGTGCAGTGCACATGTAGATCGGTAGATCCAACCGCGTTGTTATTTCTATGATTCTGAAAATCAGAGGTGGTTGAGAGTTGTGTCAAACCAGCGCTCATTTGTTTTATTTATAGGCTCAGATAACTGACACATAATCTTTACAAAGAAAAGCATCGCACAAGAGGAGAGGAACGGGAAAGAAAGACACCAGAAACAACTCAAACGCAACACCCATAAAAAGGCCCATCAAAATACTCTATAAAGAAAAAACCCAACCAGGATCCCCTACCAGACGTCCCATCTCGCACCCCATTCCCCCTCGCCCCCCCCCCCCCCCTCCCCTCCCCCCCAAGTCACATCTGCACATCCACCATGTAGGGGGCCTCCACCCAAAGAGGCCCGCCCTCCACCTCGACATCGTCCCTCTCCCGATCCACCAAGTCCACATTCAACCCCCCCATGGAAGACGCCGCCCGAAGCAGGATGACACGAGCTTGCGCCCGTTGTAACGCCACTCCGATGAGCGCCTTCAGAGACCCCAAAAGGTAAGCCGAGAACGAAGTGTCATCCTCCCGACAAGCCCCCCGTGACACAGCTAGCCCCACGTGCGCGTCCCCCTGCTGTCGAAGCCACCGCCGGAAGCGACCGCCGAGACACCCCCACGTCTCCACTATCAAAGGGGTGAACTGCACGCCTCGGTTCCGTGCAAGAAGAGGCGCGTAATCCCCCGTTTTGCGACGCTCCCACTCCTTTGCCGCCACGCCTATAGACCGCCCGCACTGCCCTAGCAGAGATGGAGACAGTGATAGCGGGTCCGCGACACTAATCTCTAAAGCATGAGCCTCCCCAGCCATTGGTCGTCGCACCGCTACGTCAACCCGCTTCCCCGGCAGCACCGCACTATCCTCCATCGTCACCACCCCCCCTGACGCCTTAGCGCTCATTTGTTTTGTCCTCTACATTCTCAATGATTATAATGCAAAAGAAACAACCAACACTTGAGGAACATGCTATTCTACGGTACCGATGTCTAACCTTACCTCAACTCAAAGGATGAAATTGTTATACCCTGCACAAGCATGTACAGAGCAGGACAGAAGAGCACATGAGAGACCCTTAATATGACAGGCGAGACGGAGTTCCCGGACACATCAATCCTACACATACCGTATTAAAAAACACAGCCCGCCCCACCTCTAGAGGCCCTACGCACCTGCTAGCAAGCAGCTTGGAGCATCCGTGGTTGCCATGCTGCAGCGCCACTTGCATGGGCGTCCTGCCCTCACCATCTGTCACATTCACCACCGCCCCCCACAGCAGCAGCAGCTCCACCATCGCCTCGTCTCCCCTCTCACACGCCACATGCAGCAGCCTCTGCCCCGTTCTCCCCGCACTGCCTCTTGTGATCCCTGGTCCAGCTGGCGTCGCGCTGGCGACGGCCCCGACCACGTCAGCGTTGACGTCGACGGGCGCGGTGACGAGGAGGCGGAAGGCGGAGCGCACGTCGCAGGAGGCGACTGCTGCTCGCAGTTGGTGCAGCGCGGTCAAGGGGTTGTCCGTGGCGGGCGCTTGGAAACGCCGCTCCACATACTGGAAGATGGCGGGGTGGTGGTATGGGGAGGATGGAACGGGGGAATGGGGAGGGGGAAATAGAAGAAGGGAAATGAGATTTCACAGTGCAAGGCGAGAGTGCTACTGTTCACTTAGCACACGTCGCAGGGGCCGGAAAGGCGGAGCGGACATCGCAGGAGGCGGCTGCTGCTCGCAGGTGGTGCAGAGCGGATGTGGGGGTGTCGGTGGTGGGGGCAGGGAAAGGCCGTGGAGGGGTGGTGGCATGGACGGGTGGCATGAGGAGGGAGGGGAAAAAGGGGAGAGGGGAAAAGAAGGGGGACAGGATTTCAGAGTGCGTGGGAAAAGTGCTGCTGGTCACAAAGTGCATGTCGCAGTTAGCGAATGCATCGTACAGGTGGTGCAGTGGAGGGGGCTAGGAAGCGCTGTGCCACATACTGGAGATGGTGGAGTGGCGAATAAAGGGTCACCTTGTCACCCACCCACCCACCTTGCATTTGATGTACTGCTCTTTGAGGCCCAATGAGTCTGTGTCTGCTGGCTTTGATTGTTCATCCGACTGAAAAATGACCCTAAACCGTAAAACCTAAACCTGCTGGCTTTGATTGTTCACGCGTGTCCCACCCACCCACCTTGCAGCTAATGTCCTGCCCTTTCACTGCCAACGAGTCCGTGTCTGCTGGCTTGACTTTAAAGCTGACTCAAAAGTCACCTCTTTTGGTGCATGTGTGTCCCACTCACCTTGCAGTGAATGTACTGCTCTTTCACTGCCAACGAGTCCGTGTCTGACGGCTTGTGCACCACAGCAGGCGCCGCCGCTGAAGCCCCCCCGTCATTGGACAATAGAATGTAGTCCTCCCCTTCGCCCCCCTCGCTCTCCGCACTGCATGGTGCAACGGGTGTGCATGGTGCAACGGGTGTGCATGGTGCAACGGGTGTGCATGGTGCAACGGGTGTGCATGGTGCAACGGGTGTGCATGGAGGATGGACAAGGCGGAAGGGACGGACAAGGAGGAGAAGGGAGAGGCAGGAGGAGAAGGGAGGGGCAGGAGGAGAAGGGAGGGGCAGGAGGAGAAGGGAGGGGCAGGAGGAGAAGGAAGCGAAAGGGGAGGAGAGGCCAAGAGAGGGAATAGAGGCGAGAGAATTAATTGCGGACAGAATTGAGTGGGGCGATGTTATGTTATGGAAGAGGGGAGGCCATTGATCGAGAGCAGACGAACCACCGTTCAACCAGCAGCAGCGCAACACATGGCACCAGCACAGCATGGAACCGCACAGCATGGCACCGCACAGCAGGACACAGCACAGCACAGCACAGCACAGTACAGCACAGCACAGCACAGCACAGCACAGCACAGCACAGCACAGCACAGCACAGCAAAGCACAGCACAGCACAGCACAGCACAGCACAGCACAGCACAGCACAGCACAGCACAGCACAGCACAGCACAGCGCACCACCACACAAACATACCGTGTCAAGGCGCGGCTCGCTGCACCTGGAGGCCCCTCTCGCCCGCCCACAGCACCCCCCTGCACGTCTTTGAGCCCTTGCTCCCACACGCTGTTGGCAAAGTCGTTGCCCACTATGGCCATCAACCGCACCAGTGGCGCCGTCCACACCTTCACATCTAGCGTCAATGAGCGCACCTGGTGGTGGTGAAGGGGGAGGGGGCGAGGGGGGGCGGGAGGAGAGAGGCGGGGATGTTTGGGGAAAATGGAAAGTGTTTGTGGAGGCGCCTCTAATGGACTCATGATGGCTATGAGGCGCACCAGTGACGCCATGCACCCCTTCATGCCTCGCGTCAACACGCGTACCTTAAGGCAGGGAAGCACAGGGAGGGAAGCACAGAGCGGGGAAGCACAGGGCAGGAATTCATAGGGCGGGGAAGCACAGAAGGAAGGGGGGATGGATGGAACGGGGAAGCTCATTCGGGGTGCCTCGTGTCATCATATCATGGGCATGGGTACACACACCCAGTGACTGCCCTCTCTATTCCATCACCCTCACGAGTGGCTTGCTTGCAGTTGTGGCTGGAGACCTTTCAACATCGGGGCGTGCGTACTTTGAAGCAATCAGTGCAGAGCAGCACGCAGAGGTTGAGCAACCCAGTCAGTCACGGGGCCTCATACCATGATTAGGCGCCAGAGAAAAAGATTGGTACCTTGGAGCGATGCACGCCCAGATTGCGGTGCACGCCGGAGCAGTCGATGCAGAGCAGCACACTGAGGTTGAGCGACACCCAGTCGGTTGGGGTGCCTCCTACCATGACCCAATATCAGGCATCCCCCGACCCAACTACTGAGCCCTCGACTGCTTAAAGCCCAAGTGCCACTTGTGAGTTGCAAGCATACCTTGGAGCGATGCACGCCCAAGTTCCGGTGCACGCCGGAGCAATCAATGCAGAGCAGCACGCAGAGGTTGAGCGACGCCCAGTCGGGGTGCGCCCGGCTGCAGTCGGCACAGCGGTCGTTGCCGCTCACATAGCCCAGCACCTCCAGTGGCCGCTCCACTATGGGCAGTGCTGCTGCCTGCCCGTCCTGTGATGCTGCCCGGTGGGAAATGGTTAAATCCGCCACTGATGGCGCTGGCTGGCGTGGGGAGGAGAGGAGCAGTGGGGGGGAGGGGGAGGGGGGTGAGGGGGAGGAGAAGCAGTGCAGCAAGGAGGAGACGAGGGCGGAGGGGAAGGAGGGAAGAAGGGGTGAGAATAGCTGTGGTTGCAGCTGGCATAGCCCAGCACCTCCAAGGGTCGCTCCACTATGGGCAGCGCTGCTGTGGCCTGTGAGGGCTGCCCGCCCTTCGATGCCTCCCGGTGAGAGATGGTTAAGTGGTGAGGACACATGGGGGAGAGGAATGAGGAGGGGATTGGGGGGACGGGGAGGGGAGGACACATGGGGGAGAGGAATGAGGAGGGGATTGGGGGGACGGGGAGGGGAGGACACATGGGGGAGAGGAATGAGGAGGGGATTGGGGGGACGGGGAGGGGAGGACACATGGGGGAGAGGAATGAGGAGGGGATTGGGGGGACGGGGAGGGGAGGACACATGGGGGAGAGGAATGAGGAGGGGATTGGGGGGACGGGGAGGGGAGGACACATGGGGGAGAGGAATGAGGAGGGGATTGGGGGGACGGGGAGGGGAGGACACATGGGGGAGAGGAATGAGGAGGGGATTGGGGGGACGGGGAGGGGAGGACACATGGGGGAGAGGAATGAGGAGGGGATTGGGGGGACGGGGAGGGAAGGACACATGGGGGAGAGGAATGAGGAGGGGATTGGGGGGACGGGGAGGGGAGGACACATGGGGGAGAGGAATGAGGAGGGGATTGGGGGGACGGGGAGGGGAGGACACATGGGGGAGAGGAATGAGGAGGGGATTGGGGGGACGGGGAGGGGAGGACACATGGGGGAGAGGAATGAGGAGGGGATTGGGGGGACGGGGAGGGGAGGACACATGGGGGAGAGGAATGAGGAGGGGATTGGGGGGACGGGGAGGGGAGGACACATGGGGGAGAGGAATGAGGAGGAGATTGGGGGGACGGGGAGGGGAGGACACATGGGGGAGAGGAATGAGGAGGGGATTGGGGGGACGGGGAGGGGAGGACACATGGGGGAGAGGAATGAGGAGGGGATTGGGGGGACGGGGAGGGGAGGACACATGGGGGAGAGGAATGAGGAGGGGATTGGGGGGACGGGGAGGGGAGGACACATGGGGGAGAGGAATGAGGAGGAGATTGGGGGGAGGGGGAGTAAGAAGGAAGAGCAGGGGGAAGGGGGAGTGGGAAGACCAACGTTGCCGCATGGTGCTTGAGACGTCGCTAGCATGTGAACGAGGAGGACGCATCGTGCACTAGCTTTGAAAAACAGAGCACCAAAACGAAAGGCGGTGAGAACGAGAGGCGGTGAGTGCGTACAATGGAGGAGGAGGATTCAATGGGCACAACAAGCAGGCAGGCGGGCAAGCAAAACAGGCGGAAAGCAGGGAAGCAAGCGGGCAGGGGGGCAGGGAAGCGGGGAGGCACCTGGGCAGTGGTGTGGGAGTTGAGCAGCGAGGCAATGACAGCTGTGATCTTCTCCATCCAGTCCCTCTGCTCCGCTGCACTCTCCGCCTGCCCACCCCCACGCAACAGATGCACATATACAGACGGGTCCACCACAATGACTCATGCTCTCAAACTTCTCAACCATGCCACCATGCACACAAGTGCGACAACGAATACAGCCCCGTTCATTAAAGCCCCGTCGCTTAAACTCGCAAGAAAGAACGACGCCAATGCCGGCCGCCATACCTGCAGGGTGTGCGTGCAGTCGGGGGTGACGAGGCGGAAGCAGAAGCGCAGGTCGGGCTCATCAGCGTCCATCTTGACGGTCGCTGTCAGCAGGTTCAGCGACTCGTACAGCAGACTATGGTTCCTCTCCTCCTCCTCGCCCATCCCCCCCATCCCACTCATTCCCCCCATTCCACCCGTTCCCCCCATTCCCATGCCCATTGCGTCTGTGCCGTGTTCGTCTCCCCCATCCTCTCCGTGTCCGCCGCCGCCGCCCCTGCCGCCCACGCCGAGCGGGCGGTAGTGCTGGGCCATGGGGTTGGCGGGCGGCGGGGCGGCGGGGGCGGCGTCAGCAGTGCGCGGGCGGACGAGGGAGAAGAGCGAGGAGAGCGTGTCGGAGCGCGCGTTCTGAAGGGGGGAGGATGGGGAGGATGGAACGGGGAGGAAAGGGGGGAGGAAGGGGACGAAGTGGAGGGAGGGAGGAGGGAGGAGGGAGGAGAGATGAGGGAGGAGAATGTATTAGAGCAAAAACTTTAAGGGAGGGGGTTGGGGGAGGAAGAGCAGGAGGAGGGAAAGGAGAGAGGGGAGAGCAAGAAGGGAGAGGAAAGCAAGGAGGAAGAGGGAGAGGGTGCAGGGAAAGAGGAGGGCGGCAAGCGAGGAACGGGGGGGATACGGATGGTGGATGGAGTGGATGGGGTACGGAGAAGGAGCATGGGAGGAGAGGAGCATGGGAGGGGAGGAGCATGGGAGGGGAGGAGCATGGGAGGGGAGGAGCATGGGAGGGGAGGGGCATGGGAGGGGAGGGGCATGGGAGGGGAGGGCACGGCAGGCACTTGAAACTCCTTGGGCCTTGTGATGGGCTCGTCACATGCACATGCTGCTGCAAAAATATTAAGACCATTGAATGCAACATCTTCAGTCATACTCACCTGAGCATCCTTGTGATAGTAAAGGGAGCCCCTTGAATCGAGGACAAAGAAGTGGCGCGAGCGGGCAGCAGCAGTGCGCCTCACCAGGTACCCCTGCTTGATCACCTGCACCTGTGGTGTGGTGTGGTGTGTTGTGGTGTGGTGTGTTGTGGTGTGGTGTGTTGTGGTGTGGTGTGTTGTGGTGCAGCGTGGTGCATTGGGGTGTGGTATGGTGTGGTGTGGTGTGCGTGCACAGGAAGAGGGGAGACACGAGGGGAGTGTGGTGAGGTGAGGTGGCATGGTCTATGTGATATTGGAGAGACGAGTGCCCTGGCGTGCTTTCTTTGTGAGCGAAGCAGGCAGGGATAGAGAGAAAGGAGAGAAAGGAGAGAAAGGAGAGAAAGGAGAGAAAGGAGAGAAAGGAGAGAAAGGAGAGAAAGGAGAGAAAGGAGAGAAAGGAGAGAAAGGAGAGAAAGGAGAGAAAGGAGAGAAAGGAGAGAAAGGAGAGAAAGGAGAGAAAGGAGAGAAAGGAGAGAAAGGAGAGAAAGGAGAGAAAGGAGAGAAAGGAGAGAAAGGAGAGAAAGGAGAGAAAGGAGAGAAAGGAGAGAAAGGAGAGAAAGGAGAGAAAGGAGAGAAAGGAGAGAAAGGAGAGAAAGGAGAGAAAGGAGAGAAAGGAGAGAAAGGAGAGAAAGGAGAGAAAGGAGAGAAAGGAGAGAAAGGAGAGAAAGGAGAGAAAGGAGAGAAAGGAGAGAAAGGAGAGAAAGGAGAGAAAGGAGAGAAAGGAGAGAAAGGAGAGAAAGGAGAGAAAGGAGAGAAAGGAGAGAAAGGAGAGAAAGGAGAGAAAGGAGAGAAAGGAGAGAAAGGAGAGAAAGGAGAGAAAGGAGAGAAAGGAGAGAAAGGAGAGAAAGGAGAGAAAGGAGAGAAAGGAGAGAAAGGAGAGAAAGGAGAGAAAGGAGAGAAGAGAGAGAAAGGAGAGAAAGGAGAGAAAGGAGAGAAAGGAGAGAAAGGAGAGAAAGGAGAGAAAGGAGAGAAAGGAGAGAAAGGAGAGAAAGGAGAGAAAGGAGAGAAAGGAGAGAAAGGAGAGAAAGGAGAGAAAGGAGAGAAAGGAGAGAAAGTAGAGAAAGGAGAGAAAGTAGAGGGGGAGTGGCGACATGGCATGGCAGGAGGAGACATGAGAAAGGCAAATAGACAGAGGCAGTGGCAACGTGGCAGTGCCAGTGTTGTTCATCCCGCCCCAACCTCACCTTCCTCTGCCCGCCTGCACCAGCACGCATCATCTGCTCCACACTGGTCGACGTCACGCCTCCTGACGGCCTGTACGGCCCCCGCCCCTGCCCAAACCCTTCCCCGCCCGCTCCCCCCTCCGCGCCCCCCGGGCCAGCCCCCGACATGCGCCCTCCGCCCCCCCGCCCCTGTGCGTGCGCCAGCGCCTGTGCCTGCGCGTGCGTGTGGGCTGCCTCCAGCTGCGCGCTCTCCTCCTCCTGCGTGCGCCTGAACTGGTAGATGCGCTCCGCTAGCTCCGTCTGAGAGAGTGAGCGGATGGAAGGGAGGGAGTGAATGGAGAAGCAGATTGACTTGGGTTGGAATGGGATTCAACGCGTGGCCCTCTGGGAGTGCTGCAAGGGAACCGGTAGGTCCGCTCCTCTAGCTCCCTCTCACAGACAGAGCTAGCAGAGCGCAACTACCAGCGAGCGGATAAAAGGGAGGGGTGAATGGAGATGCAGATGAAACGGAAACAGTAGATTCGCTCCCCTAGCTCCCTCTGCACGGACTGGTGTGGGTGGTGGAGTGGCGGAGCGGCATAGAAAGAGATGTAGAGAGGAATGTTTAGGCAAGGAATAAAGGCAGGAAGGTGAGGATGTGCACGCTATGGTAGCATAGCCATGGCATGAGGATGTGCACGCTATGGTAGCATAGCCATGGCATGAGGATGTGCACGCTATGGTAGCATAGCCATGGCATGAGGATGTGCACGCTATGGTAGCATAGCCATGGCATGAGGATGTGCACGCTATGGTAGCATAGGCATGGCATGAGGATGTGCACGGTATGGTAGCATAGCCATGGCATGAGGATGTGCACGGTATGGTAGCATAGCCATGGCGAGCTTTCAAGAGATGAAGGCCTAAGATGCGAGCATGCAAGCACACCCCCCCACACACACACACACACGCACACACACGCACACACACGCACCTGCTCCTGATTGGCCTGCTCCTGTGCTTGATGAGAGAATGTGAGGACCTGCGAGAGAGGGCGAGGCATGATGGAATCGACAAAATCAGTGTCTGTTGGCCGTGCATTAGAGGATGATGAGGCAATGGGCAGCTTGAAGATACTAGCGAGGACGGATGGGACGAGGGAAGCACATGGTATGGTAGGATGATGTGGGAACGTGGGAACCCGAGTCAAAGGGATAGGGAATATGAGAGGGGTATGGATGGTGGGGACGATGGCACCTGTGAGTTGCACTATCATGGCAGGCAGGGTCACGCCCCCCAGCACAGCACAGCACCCCTGAGCATCACCTGATGGATGTACGGTTCCACTGCTTGCAACAGCTCGTAGCCCTGCCATGTGGTGTGGAGAGCAAAGCAAGGAGGGAGGACGACAACAATCACAGGGCAGGCTGGCTGGTTGGTGCAACACACACGAGAATGAGAAACATTGGTGTGAAGCAGTGGGTAGGTGATATGTGCACAAGCAACTGTAAGTTGAAGCTGCAGTAAGCGTGGTTATGAGCGGATGTATTGCAACTGCGGCGCCACTTGGCAGCTTTCAAGCTAACCACATGTCGCATGGATTGGTACGATACGTTCATTTCACGTGGCAGGCATGCTACACTCGTTCCCATGTGGAAACAGTTTGATGAGTGGAACAAACTTGAATGAGCACATCCCTTTACAAGGGAGTATGAGTATGTGCGCGGGTACGTACCTGTTTGAAGTAGCGCAGGTGGGCGTGCACAGCAGAGCCAATGGACTCGAGGAACACGTGCTTCTTCTTCGCCTCGGCGCTGCTCAGCGCTGTCATCTGCTCGCAGCACCGGGCAGGCATCAAAGTGGAGGGCAGGCAAGGATTTTCATAGATGAAATCACTTACTTTTGAGAATTCTCAAAAGTGATTTCAAAATGGATTTCATAGATGCGCACAGATACATCCACCCACCCGCACACACACATGCACACGGCACCGAAGAGGATCGCGCATGGCAGGGACGGAATAAATAGAGTTGCTTGCAGGGGAAGTATGGATTTATCTGAAGCTTAAGAGAAGAAGTCCCTCATAAGCCTATGAGATGGTAATTGGAGGAGGAGATGCTCACATCACATTCATGCCCTTCAAAAAGATTGTGCCGTGCGGCTGTGCCTGCTTAAACAGCAACTGCATGCGCATTGAGTGGAGCTGAGCTGCCTCAAGAGTGGGTTTCAGAAGGTGTTTCTTGAAACGAATTGAATTGTGTTATAGAGAGTGTGCTTTGAGCCAATTCTAAACAGAACGCGGTGGTGAGTCCAAGCGAGAGAGAGGGCTCACCAGGTTGAAGCGCGCCTGCTCAAACTGCATGCGCGCGTTTTGCAGATCCTAATAGGCACAGGGGGTGACAGGGACAAGGGTGTTGGCATGGGCACGAGGAGGGGAGAGTGAGGGGAGAAGTGGAAAGGCGGGCATGCGAGCCGTTATTTTGATGCGGACGGAGGTGATGGCACAGCGCAAGGGTGTTGGCACGGGGTGAGGGGATGTAGGGGGGAGAGGGGGGGGGGGGGGGGGGGGGAACGGGGGGAAAGGTGGAGTATGATCATCGTAAACCTGTGCGAGCCGTTTGCAGATCCTGGTGGGCACAGGGGTTGACAGCCGAGGCAGCGATGTTGTTGTGAGGGGCATGGGAAGGGCATGTGAGGGGAAAGGCAGGGGCATGGGAAGGGCATGTGAGGGGAAAGGCAGGGGCATGGGAAGGGCATGTGAGAGGGAGGGACATGCGAGGAGCATGTAAACATCTGACCCAGCAGCACATGGATTCGCTTCAGGCCTGATCGCACTGCAGCACGTGGGCCGCATGTCATGAGGGGAACAGAGAGAAGGCGCGGGGGAAAGAAGGAGAGGTAGAGATAAGGCTTGGCAAAAACCTCTCAAAACACATCGCCCCCCTCATCACCCTCTTCCCATCCATCTCCTCTCATCTCCGTTTCCCATGTATCTCTGCGTTCTCAAAATGCCCTTCCAGCGATTCCTCCACACACTTCCCTGTCCAGCCCGCACCCCCCTCACCTCATCAGCCTCTGCCGCTACTTCAGCCTTGATGCCCTTCTTGAGCGACAGGAAGCGCTCACGCATCTGGTGAGAGTGCAGAAGTGGGATGGGGGGAGAGTGGGTAAGCGGGACAGTTTAAGTGCCCAAGACAACTTTAAGGTACGTGGGTCAATGGTGCAGCGACAGGGCAGTTGGGCGCAAGGGCAGTGGGGGCCGTGGGGGCGGTGGGGGGGCAGGGGGGGCAGTGGGGGCCGTGGGGGCGGTGGGGGGCAGTGGGGGGCAATCCTCGTGCTCACCTGGTCATACTGCCGCCCTGCCTTGTCGTAGCGCCGCCGCACCTCCTGATGGCACACATGGGGCATGGGTGTGGATAGATGGTGTGGGTGGATGGTATGGGTGAATGGCATGGGTGAGTGGGTGGCATAGGTGGATGGCATGGTTGCACGAACGGGTGAGTGGGTGAGTGGGTCGGCCTGAGGGGGTGGCATGAGTAAATGGCACGACATTGCTAATGAACAATTTGGGCAGTATGCACTCAGCAGCAGGAGCACTGCGACCTTAGCCACACATGGAGTGGCTGAGGAAGGAAGTTCTTCCCAGTTCCAACACAGCCAGGGAAGCTGGGGAGTGCTGTGGCTTGACAAGCTCACAACAAGTACAGTGGGACCTGACAACAGTCTTCCTCGCAGCCAACGGCAGCACACCTGGGCAGCCGGAACACCTCATGCGTGCGTCCACGCGAGAAGAGCAGCGCAAACAGCAGCGCAAACAGCAGCGCACCTTGAGGTTGTTGAGATCGTTCTCCACGAAGTTGGTGATCCTATCATGCAGCACGTGCTCCATCTGTAGGTGGAGGCGATGGGGAAGGGGGATGGGAAAGGGGGATGGGGAAGGGAGAGAGGGAGGAAGGTGTATAAGCATTGAGATCGTTCTCCACGAAGTTGGTGATTCTGTCATGCATCTGCACACACACACAGGGGGTGGGGGGGATGAGGGGGTGTCGGGGGGGTTAGGGTGGGGTGAGGGGGGGATTGGGGGTATGGGGGAGATTGGGGGGAAGGGGGGGATTGGGAGGGGGGGGGGGGGGGGGGGGAAGGGCATGTCAAGAAACCAAGTTGGTGATTCTGTCATGCAGCACGTGCTCCATCTGCACACAGGGGGTGGGGGGGCCAGCGGGTGTATGGTGTTTGAGGCACCTTGCAACCAACTTGGTGATTCCATTATGCAAAACACGTGCGCCATCTGCACAGAAAGGGGGAGAAGAGGGCGGTGGAAGGGGGGTATATGTTTTTTGAGGCGCCTCATAACCAAGTTGGCAAATCTGTCATGCAGCACGTGCTCCATCTGCACATGCATGCACACGCCATGCTGGAGAAAAGAGGGGCGGGGAAGAATTGAGATAAAAGGGTGGCGAGTGGTACATCATGGAAGGGAAAGCAGCGTCACGTGGTAAGGGCAAGAGGATGTGAGCCGAAACACCCACCAACCCCCCGCCTTGGTTGGTAAACCCATGTAACTTGAACACGCGTGAACCTTGTGCATTAAGGTACCAGAAGTGGCTGGACGGGACTATGCGTGCAATGGATGTGCACTGCACTGCACTGCACTGCACTGCACTGCGCTGCACTGCACTGCGCTGCACTGCACTGCGCTGCACTGCACTGCGCTGCACTGCACTGCACTGCGCTGCACTGCACTGCACTGCGCTGCACTGCACTGCACTGCGCTGCACTGCACTGCACTGCGCTGCACTGCACTGTACTGCACTGCGCTGTGCTGCACTGCACTGCGCTGCACTGCACTGCACTGCACTGTGGTGTGGAACGCGTGTGGTGCTCACCTGCGATTTAAGCGTCTCCTTGAATATGGTGAGATCGCGCAGCGTCATGACGAACTGCCCCAGCACCGGGCCTGGCGGGAAACGAAGGGTTCAGGGCAGAGGCACATGGGAGATAGCAGGGGGCGGGGGAAGGGAGAAGGAGGGGATGGGGGGGAGCAGGAGGGGAGGAGTAGGAAAGGGAGAAGCATGGGAGTGAATAAGGTGATAGTGAGATCCGTCCAGTGTGATCTTAGACAGACCTGGCACACGGCCTGGCAAGAAACGGGCGGTCAGATGATTGCATCAACCTAACCACACAACCCCCGCCAGCAGACTACGCTGGCACACAGCCCCTGGGTGCACACAGCCCCTGGGTGCACACAGCCCCTGGGTGCACACAGCACGGCTCACTCACCGCCAGTGGCGATGCTGACAGCGTCCTCAGGCGCTAAGAAGAAGCGCTCCATGGCATGCACGAAGGCGCATGAGTGTGACTATATGAACCCCGCATCTCCTCTCTGCCCTCTGCCCTCTGCCCTCTCCCCATCAAGCTCACCGCCAGTGGCAATGCTGACGGCGTCCTCGGGCGCTCCGAAGAAGCGCTCCATGGCATGCACGAAGGCAGTCTCCGCCTCAAACGACTCGCCCAGGGATGCCCTGTTGTGTGTGTGGAGGAGAGAATTGCATTGGGTGTGTGAGGAGCCACGCAGCGAGTGCTACATCAAGCATGTAGTGGGAAGAGGAAGAATCGCTCCATGGCGTGCATGAAGGCACTCTCCGCCTTGAACGGCTCGCCCAGGGACGCGATGCGGTGGGGATGAGAGGAATCGAGGGGATACACGGAGGGGTGCTTTGGAGGGTGCTTTGGGGGGTGCATGAAGAGCAACGCTTTGGGATGAGCCGCTCCAAGGCGTGCACGAAGGCAGTCTCGGCCTCAAACGACTCGCCCAGAGACGCGTTGCAGTGGGGGGGGGAAAGGATGAGGGAAAAAAGGATGAGGGGGGAAAGGATGAGGGGGATGCATGGGATGCTTTGAGGAGTGCATGGAGGAGCAGCGAGAGGTGCAACAGGAGCGACACTTCGGGGAAGACGCTCCATGGCGTGCCGAAGTCTTTGAGTCGACTCAAAAACAGGCTTTGGGGAAGAATCGTTCCATGGCGTGCCGAAGTCTTTGAGTCGACTCAAAAACAGGCTTTGGGGAAGAATCGTTCCATGGCGTGCCGAAGGTACTCTCTGCCTTGAACGACTCGCCCAGCCCAGGGATGCGCTGCAGTGGGGGGGAGGACATTGAATTGGAGGAGGGTGTGAGGAGGAGGGTGTGAGGAGGAGGATGTGAGGAGGAGGGTGTGAGGAGGAGGGTGTGAGGAGGAGGGTGTGAGGAGGAGGGTGTGAGGAGGAGGGTGTGAGGAGGAGGGTGTGAGGAGGAGGGTGTGAGGAGGGAGTGTGAGGAACAGCGAGGGGTGCACGGGGAGCGACGCTTTGAAGAGGGATGCACGAAGCAGCAGCGCAATGGGCACGCATGGCCAAGTGCAGGAGCGATTGCGCAGCAGCGAGAGGCTACTTTTGAGGCGCCTAAAAGAGGGCGCTTTGCGTAGGGATCGATGAAGCAGACGAATGGGCAGGCGCGGGCAGGAGCGAATGAGCAGCAGGGCGAGAGGGGACTCACGCGAAGTCGTTGCAGCTGCGAGCGAGCTGGCAGCAGCGGTCCCTCAGCAGCTCGAGACTCTCCTCCAACGACGCTAGCTGTTAGCACGCGGGAAGAGGGATGCGGGGAGAGGGTTACGCAAGGGCGTGGAACGTTGGGGGAGTGGACGGGATGCAGGGAGCGAGAAGCATCAGAGATGCGAGCAAACGAGCTAGCAGCAGCGGTCCCTCAACAGCTCGAGACTCTCCTCCAACGACGCCAGCTGCGGCGAGAGGGATGAAGGGAGGGTCATGGGCGCATGAAGGGGGATTGGGGGTTGAGACGCCTCAAAGCTGGCAGAAGCGGTCCCTCAGGCGCTCGAGACACTCCTCCAACGACGCCAGCTGCGGGAGCGCCGCGCTGGCACGCGGGGAGGGGGTTGCCAGGGAGAGGGATGCGGGGAGGTTGATGCGGGGAGGGCGATGCGGGGAGGTTGATGTGGGGAGGGGATGCGGGGAGGGTGATGTGGGTTTTTGAGACGTCTCAAGGCTGGCAGCAGCGGTCCCTCAGCAGCTCGAGGCTCTCCTCCCAGCGACGCCAGCCGCGGAGCGCGCAGCTTACGGATAAGAGGAGAGGTGTGGGGGGGAAATTGAGCGAGGGGGATTATGCTAGGGCGTAAGATGTTACGGGATGTTGGGAACGGAGAGTTACAAATGTGCGGGGGTGCGAGAGATTTGACAGACGGGCGAAAGCATGCGAAATGGTTACAAGGCGCGGTATCGAACTACGGAAAAGCAGCAACTTTCAACGCCCGATTCAATGAGCCTTAGCAACGGAAGGGGAGGAACAATCAGAGCCCAACGATGGCAATGCGATGGCGTTTCGTCCATCTCTCGCTCTACATCCGCTCCGATACTACCAAACCAAACCACGTGATACTTTCCACCTAAAGAGGACGCATGCGACCAATATACACGGAACGAAGGGACGGATCAAATGTCTCTCGCTTGTAAGCACGGATGGAGGTAAAACAGGTGGATTCTAAGACGTACTCCTTCAATCTGGCACTAGCGACGACATTCTGATGGCGGAAACGAGCAGAGCGGAGGGGTGTACCTGCTTGCGCAGCATTGGCGTGTCGTCTAGCCGCGCGAACAACATCCTGGTAGTCTGTAGTCAATCGGAATGGGTGTGTCGAGGTTGCTATTGCGAGAAAACCAGCACGATAGAGCGACGATAGCTGACGATGCTACTGCGCGACGATACGGGGAGAGCGAGACAGCACAAGGTAATAAAATATCCTCCTTGATGGTCGCAAAGCTAGGCCGAACACTACTGCTGGTCTCTGGGCCACGGTTTACTAGTTGTAGTAATCCCGAGGCTGCTGCCGCGGTGCTTGCTAGTCTCACCACACCAACTGGTTCTTTGAAGGCTAGGGATTTGCGGTTTGGGCTGACATGACTGGCTAGCGTTGGGATGATCGCGTGGGATGAGGAGACTGGAGTTTCGTGTGTTTGAGTTTCCTTCCGTGGGAAAGAAATAACGACAATTTTTCTTTCCAAGAAGTGTTGCGCCAAACTGCAGAAAACTCAACAGTGTACTGAGTGTGTGCCCAGAGCAAGATATGAAATGTGTACCCCCTAACCGCCCTTAGCCCGTCCAGGTGTTTTAGACCCTGAGGACGCGTCACAAGTAGAACATCGATCCTGCCTAGAATCGGTGTTTAGGTGGTTACACATTTTCGTTTATTTTCGCTAACGTACAGTTTTCCCTTCTAAGTCAGGCGATCGATGTGCCCCTGTCACACACGATCGTGCAATTTCGTCCACATCGGGCAATTTTGCCCCGTGTTTTTACGATCGTGTCACTTGAAACTTCAAAGCAGTCGTGACACACCGATATGGCGATCGGTTTGACAGGTTCGGTGAACAACCCTGATCCTTCCTCGATATTTTACTTGTGACGCGTCCTGAAAAATCTGGGTAGGCATGGCACAAGGCCGAGCCATCCAGATCCCTCTTTTCCTTCCGATCACCATTGCTGCGGTGGCTGTCTGTCGGATCGCACTATTCTGTCAAACCGGAAAATCCTCGTTATTGTGATCCTTCACCCAATCCGTCAGGGCTAGACAGCGTGAACATTGGATATTCGGTATTATCTTAGGAATTGCTTAAAATAAATGGTTACAACAATGATAACTAAAATGATTCCTTCTGATTCATATAACCAAGAGCAGCACTACCCCAGCTCCACTCCAGGAAACTTTCTCAGCACGAGTGCACGCGAGTCGCGACCTTCCGCTTTAATTAGCCTCAAACGAGGAAACTTGTGGAGAAGTGCCACACTCTCCTCTGTAAGTACAGAATCCGATATATCCAACTCTTCCAAAGCAGGAAGACTCCGGATGTGCTCCAGGCCAGCATCAGTGATCATGCCTGGAAGAACGAGCACTTTCAACCAGCTCAAAGGTGCCAGAAACTCCAAACCAGCATCTGTCACATGGGTCCCCTTGAGATTAAGAGACCTGAGGCTGCTTGCAGCCCCAATGCCTTCCAAGCAACTGTCTGTAATAGCATCGCTGGTCAGCTCTAAGCTCTCGAGCTGCTTCATATAAAGGTGCTTGATACCCTCTGGGCTGAACCCTGTTGACCCGTCGAGAGCAATGTGCTTGAGGTGAGTCATGGTGGACACATGGTAGAGGATGGCTTCTGAAAGGTAAGGCAGTCCCTTCAGATCCAGTGTAGTGGTCGCATGAATCCTCTGCGAAGAGTGGAAAAGTTGGGGAAGAGAAAGTTAGAAGAAAATGCCAACAAATGCCAACTCCATGTATCTAGCACCTGACACCACCATTTTCGCTCTCACCTGCCAAACCGTTTTATAAGCCCCTTTCCGCATCCTGAGCTCCTCTTCCACGTCAAACTCCACATGCTTTAGTGCTGGGGACTGCACCTCTGCTGCAGCATCGAAAATCACTCCTTTACCCAGCTCCTTCACCTCCTCCTCCTCCTCCTCCTCCTCCTCCTCATCCTCCTCCTCCTCATCATCCAAAAACTTTCTCGTTTCTAAAGTCTCTTTCAATGTATCCAACTGCCTTATCACTGTCGCAAGCTCCCCCCTTGTTGTTAGCAACTCCCCCCTTACAGTCACCAGCTCGCCTCGTAGTAGCACCAACTCTGCTGCCCTGCTCCGCTCAGCCTCCTTCAATCCCCTCCGTATCTGCTCCAACTGCCCTGACGGCTGGAACGGTGGGGACAAAAGGGCGGTGGCGGTGGAAGGAAGAGCGGAGCGGTGCAAGGGGGGAGGGGGGTGGTGCGGAATGAAGGTAAAACACCTCGCTACCCACTGGGTCAAAACGAGGGTGTTATTTGGCGCAGCGGAATGGCCTTAACACAGCCCACCGGCGTTACAAAAGGTGAGAATCATGGATCCCTTCTCATGCCGCCCTCGTGCTGCTCATGCTGTTTTTCCTGCTTCCGTATCCGCCCTCAGCACCCGGATCTACTTAGGGTAAGGGTTCCCGCTAAATTCCATGAAAGACGGGGAGGGGAGGGACGGGAAGCGAAGCCACGACGAGAGGGGAAGGGAAGGGAAGGGACGGCAAGAGACCAGAGAGGAATTAAAAATGGTGGAAAGCAAGGAAAGGAAAGGAAAGGGAAGAGAAGGGGAGGGAAGGAAAGGGAAGGGAAGGAAAGGGAAGGAACGGAAAGCCATCTGTTGATAGGTCTCTCACCTCAAGAAAAAAAACTTACCTGCTCAAAAAAATGTTCAGCGGGAGCAGAAGGCGACGAGTCCAATCCCTCCGCCAGCTGCTCCCCGCACGCCACGCCGCTCCGCGACCCTGCACCGGCGACTCCTGCGAAAGTCGACGATGACGCAACAGCAGCCGCTGCTGAGAACGGCAGGAGCGGCGGCATCCCCGCTATAGGCCGCAGCGCTGCTGCTCGGCTACAAGCACGAGACGCGGCACGATGAGTGGTGTTTATAGCGGAGAAAGTGGAAATGGGTGGTACGAGGCGAGAGGGGAGGGAAATGAGGCGAGATCTCGCTGCTCCGCAACGGACGGAGCCCGTAAGAACATGCGCGAGCACCATGCCGATTGGCTGAAGCTCGTGACCCAAGCAGGTTGGGAAACACGCGCGCGGCGTCTGTACCTTGCTGATGTCAAACTTCCGTTGGAAAAATCCCGTTTGGGAAAAAGAGACCCGCAGTGCTGGAAGAGTTGAAACGGGAAGAGCGATCGCAGGAGGCGGATCTCACGGATGGAAGGAAGTGAACGGGGAAGAGAAGGGTGACGAAATGGGCCGTTGGTCCCAAGCAGGGGGCGAAATAGATTGTCATGATTGCGTGGAGCGAGATATGTCAAACGTGACGTGTCCTAAGAAATCGCTCGTGAAGCGCTAAAGATGGATGTTGATGTGAAACATGAGACCATGCCTGGCCGATGCCATGACATCGAGACGACATGATAAGGCAGATGCGATATGGAATCGTAGGCCCTGTTCGATAGGCTAACCTTAACGCCCACGGAATCCTCGTGGCTGTTTCGACAAAGGTTTTTTTTTCCGCGGTCAGCCCGTGATTTGTTGTCACGGGGCTTTAACGCTCAAGAGTCCGAAGGGTTAAGGTTAGCCTGTCGAACGCAACCCGCTCGAGAAGCTTTAGCCCGCTGGGAAAGTTCCACCGTCCTTCTCTTTCAGGCAAAGGTGTAGCCCTCGCCTAGCCTAACCCTCGCCCCCCCAAAGTGGGGTTTGCCAAAGGGCTCGTCAAAGGTTAAGGATGGTAGGGCTACCCTCTTCGTGGACCGGAAAAAAAACCACCACGCTGCTTGACTCCACCTAAAAAAAAAAACCCGCGCTGCTTGTGAGGCGAGCTCTTTGTGGGGAGGGCCTTTTTTTCTTCGGCCTTGTTACCCAGACCTCTATAGCGGGCAGTATAAATCTTTCTACGCAGACCAAGATGACCCAGCCAGAAGGGGGCGAGAACGATCGCCCTCAGGGCCCCGCGCCTTCCGATTTCTAGGGGCGAGGCTTCCGATCGGGTTTAGCTAGAGGAAAATGCGCCGAGCCCTCCTCCTAACCTTAGCCTAGCCTTCGCCTCTTGCAAAGTGTTAGCCTATCGAACAGGGCCGTAGTGACGTGAGGCTGCTGAATGGGTTGAGCCAAACAAGATTTGTATAATCCACATTCCCGCCTTACGAGGGGGATGGGAAAAATGTCACGCCTTGCGAAGGGGGGCACGGTTTCACGCCTTGCGAGGATGATCCGAGCCGAGATGCATCGTTCGGCCGCTCGCAAGGTCGCAAGACGAGGCTTTGCATGGCATGATTGGTGGTTGCAAGTTACCACAAGTAGCTCTCGCAACCCCTCCTTGCGCTGGTGTGGGCCACGGTGGCGAAATTGAGGCCTTCCTACACTGAAACTGCGGTAATTCCACACCTGCTATCTTCACGCCCCTGGGCAATCTCCCTCATCTAATTTGATTTCGAGGGTGGTTAGCATCATGATTCGATTTATCGGGATTACAATGACGCAATCTCGTCGCGAGCTTTCCGGAAGTACAAACATGGCAGAGGTGATAACGAACGAACCACACGAATCGTCCTAACGAATCGTTACATTTGAGGACATGTCTCAAATGTCTGAGTCCACGTGGGTCCGGCTCGGACCTGGCGGACCAGCTCAAGAACCAGAGCCTGAACCAGGGGCGGACCGGGACCAGGATGCGGGGCTTGTAACCCCGTTATACCGTTCGAATGGCACTAAAATGGTGCCATTTTTTCGGTCCTCCGTGATACAATCTGGGGTCCCTTATAGGATCGTCTCAGGTTGATCGCACGGAGTGTAGCAGCGGAAGTTTGCTAGATAATCTCAGGTACGGACTCTGTCAGAAGAGGGAGATTTGAATCTCGACAGAAGTAAATAACACAATGCGGTACAAGGGTTTATATAGGAATACAGTGGAATACGAAAGGTCCTAGCTAGCCATGTACTCTGAGGGGGTACATTCCCCTTAGGGCTAATCTAGGTCGGGAAACTAACCGTGCGCTTCGGCAACTGTACGCGCCACGTTAACTGTTTGAAAGTTTTCCCGCGCTTTGCACTTCGAGTTCTTTCTACTTGCAACGGTCTTCGATAATTGTTTACGTCGCTTGATCTTCGTCATCGCTGCAGTGATCTTTGCGTTAATCTAGGAATGTCTTTAAACAATTCCATATCGTAACACTCCCCTTCATTCCTCGAGAAGCAAAGTCTTGACGCACTTGGTAATACCGCAGATGTTCGCACAGTGATGGTACTGCTGTCGTGGCAGCTTCTTGGTGAGAAAGTCGGCTGCCATGTCACCGGTGGGGCAGTAAGTCAAGATGACTTTGCCCTTGTCAACTTCGTCTTTGACGAAGAAGTAGCGGAGTGCGATGTGCTTGGTGCGGTTGACGAAGCCAGGTTTGTTCGCGATCTTTATCGTGCTCTGGTTGTCGAAGTGAAGCTTGAAGCTCGAAGATGTCGCAATGGTCGCCTCCTGGAGCAGTTCCTGGAGGTAGAGTCCTTCGCGAACGGCTGGCGTGGCACGATAAACTCAGCTTCAGCGGAGGAGAGTGCCACCATTTCTTGCTTCTGGGAATTCCAGGAGATTGGGCCGGTGAAAGAGGCCGGTTCGGGACCGTTGATTTCCAGGGTTGGTGGCGTGATCTGCGTCCACGTAACCAACGAGGCTGAATGAGCGGGTTGTGAGTGTGGAAAAGGTGAGTCCAATGTGCGGCGTGGAGATGAAGTAGTGTAGGGCGCGCTGGAGGTCCAACATGTGCTCCCCTTCAGGCCGCTTGGCATGCTGAGCGAGCTGGCTCGAGATGTAGGACAAGTCAGGCCTGCATGTGACTGCGGCAAAGAGGAGACAGCCGAGTTGCTGCTGGTAGATGTGTTGACCGAGTTGGGTTAAGGGGGGTGGATATGGGTGTGGCGGGGGTGGTTGGGTTGCGGTAAGGAGTTGAGAGTTTGGCTGGTTTGATGTTGAACTTGGCAGAGAGTGTTTCAGCGTACTTAGCAGCTGAGACGTGGATGGCGTCTTCGACGTAAGAGATGTTGAGTCCGAGAAACTGATTGACGAGGTCAGAGCTGGTGATATCAACGCGGTTGCTGAGGTTTTTCTCGAACTGCGCGAGGAGCTCGTTACCGGTGCCGATGTAGAGAAGGTAGTCAGCATACGCCATGAGAAGAATGTAGTTGCCGCGGTAGTGAAGACGGTACATTTCGGGGTCGTGAGGGAGTTGAGTAAAGCCGATGTCCAGAAGAATTTGGTGGAGATGCTGTTGCCAGAGGAGCGGCGCCTGCTTGATGCCCTATTGAGATTTCTCTAGCTGACACACGCGGTTGTCGTCGTCGCCATAAGTGTGGGGTTTTTCGACGAAGATGAGTGCATCAATAGGTGCGTAGAAACGCGTTCTTTACATCGATTTGGCGGAGTGGGAGATGCTTTGCGGCGACGATGGCGAGGAGGATGCGGACGGATGTGTGGCGACTGACGGGGGCGAAGGTTTGATCGAAGTCAACTCCATGGCGTTGCTCGAAGCCACGTGCGACCCAGCGGGCTTTGAAGCGCTCGATGGTTCCGTCAGCAGCGGTTTTGACGCGGAAGACCGATTTTTTCGAAAGGACGCGTCTCCCCTTCAGCGCAGCGCGGTCAGCAAGAACCCAAGTGTCGCGAGCTTCAAGTGCGGCGACTTAGGCGTCCATCGCGGTGCTCCATTCTTTGGCATAAGGGCCCGTGAGGGCCTGGCGCGGGGTTTTGGGCCCAACGACTTTCGGTGGGTGGGACACGACAGTGTGAAGGCCGAGGAGGTGAACCCCTGAGAGGTCGGGGCTGTGCTGCTGGTCGTTGGTGACCTCCACCATGTCGTCGTCAGAGTCGTGTCCGCTGGATCGAGTGGGGCTGGGCAGGGAGTCGCGTGAGGAATCGAGTGGAGCACTGTCTTCGTCGTCGTCGTCGTCGTCGCTCCATGGGCGGGGGCCGGGGTGTGGGTCTGTGGGATCTTGGTCTGCGAGCGCTGCTTCAGCTTCGTCTTCACGGGTAGCGAAGCTGCTCGGTAGGCGCTCATAATCTGCGATGTTGCATTTTCCTCTGGTGCGGTCAGCGTGGCGGTCGGACTGGAACTGGTGGATGGTGAGATCTTCGTAGAAGATCACATCGCGGGTCGCGACCACTCGCGAGGTGTCGTGGTCGAGGATGGTCCAGACGTGGTGTTCGAAGCTGATGCCGAGGTGCACGCCCCAGTGAGCGCAGTGTTCGAACTTCCCCGTGGTTGCCGTTGCTGGCCGATACTGCACCCTGCAGCCCCAAACGCGGAGCATGGAGATGTCTCCTTGGTTGCCGGTAGATTGGAGATGGGGGAAGAGATTTTCGGTGTTGGTGGTGGTACTGAGCAGGAGCCGGACAGTGTGGTGCATGGCGTAGGGCCAGTACTTCGCGTCGACGTCGCTTTGCTGCAAGAGGGCGCGGAACTTGGTCATGAGGGTGCTGTTGGTGCGTTCCGCAACGCCTTGCTGGGGATGTGCGTAAGGAAGGGAGAGCTTGTGGATTATTCCCTTCTCTTGCAGATATGCCGCCAGCTTCTCGCTCTTGAACTCGGCTGCACAGTCTGTTTGCCAGAGCTTGAGGGTGCAGCCGGATTGTGTCGCGGCGTTGGCGTGCCAGACTTTGAAGATGTCATACACCTTGCTCCTGTGTGAGAGGTTGGCCACCAAGACGAAGCGGGAGTGGGCGTCGACGAAGGTAAGCGTATAATTTTCGCCGTTGATGCCAGTCTGAGTGAGGACAAAGAAGTCGCTGTAGACTTTCTGGAGTTTGTCGTAGCAGTTCGTGCCGGGTTCATGGAGTTTGAAGGGCTTGTGATTTAGTGCAGCTTCAGGGCAGATTGTGCAGT